TCACCACTGTTAGTCACCATTTCCTTTTTCCTCTGAGCTTTCTTTATGTTGGATGTTTTCTCCAGGCCTTAAAAACAGCAATTATCAAACCATTGTTGAAAAAGAGAATCTTGGACAAAGTAATCTTGCAGAACTACAGACCCATCTTAGGCTTCATTTCCAACCACAGCACAGATATACAGATTTACAGAATATCACAAATATTCTGTAAATCTAATGAAGATGCTGGAAACCAGTGGAACTTACATATAAATGTACGTGTTTCCTCCGCAATAGGGCCGCTGTTACACCCACTGCCAAATTCCAGCAAGTCTGGACTGAGGCTACTTAAGGACTAAACGGTCCACTTACTATGCCCACTTGTTTAGAATGGCCCTTATTTGGCGGACCCTTCATGTAATCCACACAGGGAGGGTGAGGGCTGGTGGTGTTTGGGGGCCGGTTTGGAATTGGGCCATATTCCAACATAGCCACTTTCACCCACAAGTTATGCTGCATGAAGGGGGGTGCCTTTGGTTCTTTTACTACCACCACCCGCTGGACTGGAGATGTGGTGCATTTTTTCCCATTTCAGAAAAATTATGTTTTTTTACACAGCCTTCGTGTCATGATTTCTGGCACTAGTGCTGGTCTCATTTAAGATTCAACACACCTATCATTCCCACCCTGTTTCAATTCAGCCTCTATCTTATTCACCTCTTTGCCTGACTATATAAACAACCCGCAGACCAGTATCTAGTGCAAAAAATTACGAACCCTTGGAGAGATTTATCTAGCATTCCTCTGTACCTATCTGCCTGCCTGATTCTGACCTTATTGGTCCTCTTGGCTCTCTGCGTCTACCTGAACCTTAAAGGACCTGTCATAGTGTATATTTTGGCCTCCGACATGTTTCTGTGCCCTGACCTCACGCTCAGATTCTTCCCTTGGTTGTCTGTGGATCTTGAATCACCTTGTTGTAAATCTGGACCGACTCTTGGATTCTGAACTTTGGTTAGTCCTCCTGATCATTCTGCCTGTCCTTGCTTTTGTGGATCTGAGACTGCGCATTTCTCTGGACCAACGATTAACTGTCAAATAAAAATTCCTCTGAATATGCCTGGACGGATTTAGGAATCTTTTGAGGTTCAACAATAACATCACTCGGCAACTATGTTGCAAACTGTGTATTTTGCAGCAAATTGGTTCTAAAATTTCAACCATCTTGACTTAGCCTTGGTCAAGCTTGGGATCTGAGCCCTAAGCCTGGTGCCATGAGGTTGTCCTTCCAGTGTGAACCCCCCAGCAGCTTCACGGAAAGAGAATTAGATCTGTGAGCTGTGGTGTTTAACTGTTCTCAAACTCTGCGGGGACATTAGACAATGAAACATGAAGAGGTGTCAAGTAACGAATTACAAATACTTTGTTGCTCTACTTAAGTACACTTTTTAGGTATCTATACTTTACTCCATTACTTATTCTCTTCCTACTTCTGACTTCTACTCATTACATTTTCACCGAAGTATCTATGACTACACAAGAATTGCTTTTTATAGGACTGAGTAAAACACCTCACAGTGAGCATAAGTATCTAAGGCTACGTTCACACTGCAGGCCTTAATGCTCAATTCCGATTTTTTTGTGAAATCGGATTTTTTTGCGTGTCCGTTGACACTTCCAAGTATATGCGACTTGTATGTGATCTACTGTGTGAACTAAAAGTGTTCAACCGAAGTGTCCCGCATGCGCACTCGAGGACACGATGACGTCACATGTAGCAAGCGTCCTCAGTGTTTGCGGAAGTAAACATGACTCGTAGTACCGCAGCGTATATTGCGTTCTTTAAGTTATTCTCCAACAGGAGCAGGCACATTACGAACAAAATCTTTTTAAGAAGATCAAAAAGAAAGACCCGGTTCCGGTAAGACCCTTCGAGTTTGGTCTGAATCAAGCTATCTTTCCAAATATAAATTAAGTCAGCAACCTCACTTCCTCTCCATTGACTGCTCTCTGTGTTATCTTCTGCCATGGTTGTTAGTTTTTCCCACCTCCGCTTAGTAGGACGCAGATTAGTAACGTTTAGTAACATTTGTCAAGTATCAATGACGTGTAAGATCAGATACATATCGGATTCAGGACCACATATCCAAGTGGCCAGGGTCGCATTTGAAAAAATCCGATCTGTGTCGTTCAGACTGTCATAAAAAGATCAGATACAGGTCACATATGGGCAAAAAAATCCGAATTGGGTCACTTCAGGCTGCAGTGTGAACGTAGCCTAACTTATACTTCAAATCCCATACTATTTTGCTGCAGTTTTTTTTACTATTGTACCTGACAATGTGCCTTCCTCAATGTATAAAAAAAAAAGTCTTTGTCCTTTTTTCAGCTCCCTCTTGGACCCCTCTAGTTATTTAATTTGGTCCTCAAGATCATCAATCTTCTGTCTTATCCATCTTTGCTTGGTGCATCAGTTTGGTCAACTCCGCTGCCCCTATTGGTGACCATGGAAATAAATACATAGGTTAAACATTCTGGCCAGGACATCAGAACTTTAAGTCCATCATTTTTTTCTCTATTTCAGGCAAAATTCTTAGACATTACAGTCTGAGAAAGAACTCTGATGCAAACTGCTTCATTTCTACTTTTTGTATTTTATATCCATATTTTTATCTTAAGTGTATATATTAGTCTATTTTATTGCATGCCTTATACCCACAGTGTTTTAGATATTTTTATAATTTTATTTACCTATTCCATATTATATGTTTCATGTTGCACGATTGTACCATAAAAAATTCCTAGTTTGTGAACTCCTTCACTAACAATGGCAATAATCCTGATTCTGACCTGATTCTGATTCTATACCTGAGTGTAGCATTAAAACTCAGTTGTGCCATAAAAATCATCTGAAACCTTACTATACTCATAACATGTATATACAGACTTGTTCTGATCACTCCTGCAGGTGGCTGACACTATGATCCTAGCACCATGGACAGCGCTATTCTTCACAGCTGCCTGAAAAACCCAGAGTCGCTGCATCGTATGGATGTTTCACAGGCACACCTGCCTAAACCTCATTTTAAAGAACTGGTATAGTTAGTAACATTCTCCCAAGAGCTAACCTGCTCGGGAACATGTTTATATATATATATATATATATATATATATATATATATATATATATATATATATATATATATATATATATATACTGTAACAACTCTCATTTTAGTGTGGGACCAAACCGGAAGAAAGTGCGCATTCAGCGTCTGGTCTGCCGATAATGCAAGCGTAGAAGAAGAAATGTGCTGTTTACCTGTGCAAAGAAAGAAACAACGAAAGAAAAATGTCTGAGGACTTCAGTGTTGAGGAAGAGCATGAGTTCTTTGCCGAGCTGAATGCGCTGGTTTGGTCTGCCGGCTTCCGTAGAATCGTGAGCGCGCATGGGGGCGCTATTAGGAAATCCTATACACTACTGTTTAGGCTCTAAAACGTTCTAAATGACTTCGTATCGAGTAAATTCTGGATGCTACCCACTCAGGACACTTGGATTACATTGGACGAGCAGTATGGAGGAATATTGACAAGTTTTTGTGGACTTTTGTGGACCTTTCTGTCTCGGGCGCCATAGACCTCCATTATTTGAATGTCAGCAGACAGCAAGAAGCCTCCCAGATCTCCAGATGCATTTGAGATATCAAAAAAGTACTCCAGAGTTTTGTTCAGCATGGGGGTGAGTAGAAAATGAAGGCTAATCATGTTTTGGGTGTACTATTCCTTTAATATATGTGAGTGGATTTATATGTGGGAAACTGGTCAGAAGCCATCCTGCTACTGGTCTTGGAAGAGAAAGTATCTTGGAGCAGTGATCCTCTCCATCATGCAAAACAGCTCAATGTTAGGACAAGTCCATCAGGTTACCCTCTGTTACCACTGTCATGATGGGATTTAGGTTCCTAACCCACATGCAAAACACACAAGGAGTCAGATGAAAAGTTTGACTGTTTATTGAGAAAACACAGAGTTAAATAAACTTGAAGCTGGGAAACAGATCCGGGGCTGGTTACACAGGGTTCTCTGGAGAGAGGGATAGTTTGGTTAGCCAGGATGCTAATACTCTTTGTCAGAGAAGTTGTGCAGGTCTGTACATGTAAAGTGATTCAGGCTGAGCGGCAGAGGGAGGGAACCAGGAGGGTCCAGAGGCAGAGAGTCGGCAGAGGGCTAGGCAAATGGTAAATGGCATGTACTTATATAGCGCCTTTATTCAAGTTAGGAGACTTGACCAAAGCGCTTTACACTACATTCATTCACCCATTCACACACACACTCACACACTGATATTGGCAAGCTACATTGTAGCCACAGCTGCCCTGGGGCTCACTGACAGAAGCGGGGCTGCCGTACACTGGCGCCACCGGGCCCTCTGACCACCATCAGTAGACAATGCAGGTGAAGTGTCTTGCCCAAGGACACAACGACACTGAAAGTCAGAGTCGGGGCTTGAACCGTCAATCCTTCAATTTCAGGGCAAACTCCTACATCCAACGCCACTGTCACCCCAGGCAACGGCAGGTCTCGACTTCAGACTTGTCAGTGTTCAAGTTCTGAGTTTCTTCCAGCTCTCTTCTTGAGAGCAGACAGGCAGGTTCAGATAGTTTGATCCACAAAAGTGCTATTGAGAGCAGACAGGCAGGTTTCAGCTGAGAAACTCTTCCAAAGTTCCTGTGTACACTCAGGTTCTTCCTGCGAGGCAGAGAGGACAAAAACAGGGTAGGTTCAAAGTCAGGTTTTCAGGGGAGTCAGAGAATCAGACAGGCTGGTTGGCTCAGGCTTGCTAACCGTAACTGGCTTAACACTCTGGCACTGGAGTGTTGTCCTGCCGCTGCTTAAATGCTGGTCTCCTGATGAGCCAATGAGCCGGAGGTGTGGTCGTCAGCTTTAGCTCCAGGAGACCTAGGGTGCCCTCTACTAGAGAAAGGTGGACAGACCTCCAGATCCCAACAGTACCCCCCCCCTCAACGACCGCCTCCTGGCGGTCCAGAGGATGTAGAAGGCAGAGACTCATGGCAGTCGTCCATCAGGGAGGGATCCAGGATGAAGGATCCCCTGTGGTTTCCGGAGATCAGGAGTTCAAGTGGCTGAGTCTGGTGTGTAACTTGATGTAATTTCTTTCCATCAATAGCTAAGACTCTAAGAGGTTTCTTCAGAGGGATGGTGTCAATGTTTAACTGTTGAACCAGGTTAGAGTCAATAATTTTTTTCTCACAAAGTGAGAATCAGTAAAGGCAGACAAGATGAGAGTCTGATCAGAAACAAACAAGGTAGCTGGTAGCAGTAGATGAGGAGACTTTTCAGATTGCAGATGGTCCGCCAGACTCCTCATATCTTCTGGCGGACCCTGGCTTTTACCTTAGCAGGGCAGGTGGAGATAAAATGGCCGGGCTCACCACAATACATGCATAAGTTCCCCTTGTATCTCCTTTGCCTCTCCTCAGTTGAGATTCTGGTATGACCAATCTGCATAGGCTCTACATCAGAGGTTTCTGTGGAAGGAGAGACGCCATGGGTGAAGGAAGCAGGAACAGAAGCTGACTGGTTACGATTCCTTGGCATGGAATCAGTCTCAGGTGGTGCAGAAAAAACAGAAGAGCTGTTAGTCATTGGGGCAGTTACAGAGAAAACATGGATTGTTAATCTGATTAATTCCTCCAGGGTTGCTGGTTTGTTGATTGTGGCGAGTTCATCCTTTATTTCTTCGTCTAGAGCCTTAAAATAGGCGCTTTTGAGTGCGCATTCATTCCAACCGGAAGCTGCACCCTTTGACCCCGAAGTCGATCGAGAAATCGGCTACAGTCCGATTTCCTTGTGTAAGATTTAACAGAGCTCGAGAATCAATTGATTGGTCTGAGTCTTGATTAAAGACTTGTGAAAATTCCTTGATGAATTGATCAAATGTGCACCTAAAACTGGATTCTGAGGGGAATCTGGCTTCAGCCCATTCGAGAGCTCTTCTGGTCAATTGAGAGAGTATGAAACAAATTTTTCTCTTATCGTTGGAGAAACTGGATGGTGAGTGTTCAAAAATCAATTTACACTGGAATAAAAATCCTTTGCACTTACTCGTAATGCCTGAGAACTTCTAAGGAAGTGACAGACGGAATTCCGGAAATGACGGAACAGGTTCTGACCTTTGAGGCGGATCTGGCTCTGGAACCGGAAGTTGAGCTGGCTCCGCTCTGGGAGTAGCATTTCGGAGATAGCCGGCTAATTCCTGTAAAGTTTGATTTTGTTGTTCTGTTAGGTTTTATTATTTATACATCATGTGCATTGTTATTTTGTTAGTCAGATTAGACAGAGCAGAAGGCCTTCCTTCACATTGTGGATGTAACGTGTGTACGGAGGTCATCTAATCAGGACAGCCTTTGTGTCTTTAAGAATACACAGGATATGGGCACATCTTGGAGATGGTCTGATAGGAGAGGTGCTGTATCTGTAACCCTGAAGCATAGAAGCAAGCTGCATGGAGTTCAAGACAGGGAAGGCGTGTCAGTTTCTTATACGGACAGCTAAGCATCCACATGATGCAACACAGACTCAGAAGGTATAAGAAGCAGGAGATGACGTTGTTCGGGGCTCAAACTTTGCCGGACGCTTGCGGACGTGATTTTTGAGACCACAGCTGTGCAAGCTCTAAGCATTTTTCTCTGTCCTGTAAAGACCTGATCTGGAATAAACTCCTGTTTTATAGTCCTTTTTATATGGTTTTACCCAGTTTGAGTTAAGAGTAGTAAATAACTTGCCTCCAGGAAAAGAACCGGTGAGAAGGCCCCCGGGGCGCTACAGCTTTCCTTCCAAGGGGACAAATCCTTCTCACTTTAACAGTTCAAAACGTGTGTTAAACTCACGGAGGGTGGAGTCGTGGCCTTGAATCAAAGCTCCTTGTTCCTCAATCATCCTCCGGAGTTGGACTGCTGGGTTAGGTTGTTGGCCAGAGTGTTCTGTCATGATGGGATTTAGGTTCCTAACCCACATGCAGAACACACACGGAGTCAGATGAAAAGTTTGACTGTTTATTGAGAAAACACAGAGTTAAATTAACTTGAAGCTGGGAAACAGATCCGGGGCTGGTTACACAGGGTTCTCTGGAGAGAGGGATAGTTTGGTTAGCCAGGATGCTAATACTCTTTGTCAGAGGAGTACCTGTAAAGTGATTCAGGCTGAGCGGCAGAGGGAGGGAACCAGAAGGGTCCAGAGGCAGAGAGTCGGCAGAGGGCTAGGCAACGGCTCGACTTCAGACTTGTCAGTGTTCAGGTTCTGAGTTTCTTCCAGCTCTCTTCTTGAGAGCGGACAGGCAGGTTCAGATAGTTTGATCCACAGATGAGCTATTGAGAGCAGACAGGCAGGTTTCAGCTGAGAAACTCTTCCAGAGTTCCTGTGTACAGTCAGGTTCTTCCTGGGAGGCAGAGAAGACAAAAACAGGTTAGGTTCAAAGTCAGGTTTTCAGGGGAGTCAGAGAATCAGACAGGCTGGTTGCTCAGGCTTGCTAAGCGTAACTGGCTTAACACTCTGGCACTGGAGTGTTGTCCTGTCGCTGCTTAAATGCTGGTCTCCTGATGAGCCAATGAGCTGCAGGTGTGGTCGTCAGCTTCAGCTCCAGGACACCTAGGGCGCCCTCTGCTGGAGAAAGGTGGACAGACCTCCAGATCCCAACAACCATATCAGCTTTGAACCACAAGAGTCTTGGGGCCCAGGTGTCCCCACACCCCCTGAAGGATAAGTCTTTATTGGTGTCATCAGCAGTATCACATAGAGGCAGAAGGAAACAGAGCATCAAAAACGGCGTTCCTCCCTTCAAGAGGAAATGTCATATTGAATTGTTAATCTGCTCAGAGTGCAGGATTGTACTCTGACTTGCTGCTGCGTTCCCCAAACTCTGCAATTCACAGTTCCTGAAAATGCTGAAACCGACTGCATTGTGCAAAGTGTCAATAGTCCATTGAAAATGTTCTCCAAAAAAAAGTGCTATGATGAAAAAAATAAAATAAAAACATAATGGTAGTTTTATTGTTTTTTTATTTGAATAGTATTAAATATGATAATTGCTTGGAACAGGGAGTTAGTGTGTTTAATAGATTTCAGCAAAGATAACGTGGATGTGTCTGGTTAAGAGGAATCATTCTTCTGAATTAACAGTTTAACTATATTGTCATGATGGGTACTGAAAAGGCCCAAGATGCAGAACACCACGGAGACTGAGGAAAAGTTTAACAAGTTTATTGTTCACAAGCACTTGGAGATAACACAGGTACTGGTTCAGGCCTGGGGGCTGGTTCACTGGAGTCTGCGTGGGAGACAGTTCAGTTAGCTTGGGTTCAGTTGAGTTTGAGTTTGAGAGTTTCAGGTTTGTACCTTGAGAAGTCCGGTTTAGGCTTTGAGAGAGGAACTGTTGGGTCCAGAGATTGTTTAGTTCAGCAGAGTCCGATAACTGCTTCAGCGTCTTACTTCTAGCGTGAGGGCAGACCTTGGCTTTGGGTTTCCAGCTCTTAGTCCAGAGCTGCATGGGAATCCAGAGAAGAGTCTTCGGGTTTGGCTCAGAGGGCAGGCTTGGCAGGTTAAGCTCTTCCAGAGCTCTCAGGAGAAAAACAGGATTCCTGAAAGCAGAGAAAAAAAGGATTAGAATCCTATCTGGATTCAAGGGCAACAAAGGTTCTCAGAAAATGCTAGGCTCAGGTGCTAACCAAACTGGATTTAGCACTGCGGCGTCGAGGCAAGGTCTGAAGGCAGGTTATATACTGTGGACCCTCTGATGATGAGATGCGCCACAGGTGTGTCGAAGGCTCAGCTCAGGAGGATCCATGGCGGACTCTGCTGGAGAAAGATGGAACTTCTCCAGCTCCCAACATATATAGAGACATTTATGATAGTTTGGTTAACCTTGAGCTCAGTGGGCCCTGTACTAGGCCCATCTGATACCTACTCATGTTGATCTATTTATAGAAATGGCCAAAACACAGTCAAGTTTATTTTTTTTTTCACAAATACTTTTTGTTTTATAGCTGTGTAAAAAATAAAATGAGATTTAAAATTCCACCTGACTTGTGTGACCCTGTGGGAGTACTCGTACTCGTACTCGTCGTCTCCCGCTTTATCCGGAACCGGGTCGCGGGGGCAGCAGACTAAGCAGAGACTCCCAGACTTCCCTCTCCGCAGACACCTCCTCCAGCTCTGCTGGGGGAAGCCCTAGGCGCTCCCAGGCCAGCCGAGAGACGTAGTCTCTCCACCGTGTCCTGGGTCGTCCCCTGGGCCTCCTCCCAGTGGGACGTGCCTGGAACACCTCCCGAGGGAGGCGTCCAGGGGGCATCCGAAGAAGATGTCCGAGCCACCTCAACTGACTCCTCTCGATGTGGAGGAGAACCGGCTCTACACTGAGCCTCTCCCGAATGACCGAGCTCCTCACCCTATCTCTAAGGGAGAGCCCAGCCACCCTGCGGAGGAAGCTCATTTCAGCCGCTTGTATCCGGGATCTCGTTCTTTCGGTCATGATCCAAATTTCATGACCATAGGTGAGGGTAGGAACGTAGACCTAACGGTAAATTGAGAGCTTTGCTTTTTCGCTCAGCTCTCTCTTCACCACGACAGACCGGTGCAGCGTCCGCATTATTGCAGCAGCCGCACCGATCCGTCTATCGATCTCCCGCTCCATTCTTCCCTCACTCGTGAACAGGACCCCAAGATACTTGAACTCCTCCACTTGAGGCAGGGACTCTCCTCCAACCTGAAGGGGACAAGCCACCTTTTTCCGGTCGAGAACCATGGCCTCGGACTTGGAGGAGCTGATTCTCATCCCGGCCGCTTCACACTCGGCTGCGAACCGCCCCAGCGCACGCTGTAGGTCTTGGCAGGAGGGAGCCAGCAGAACTACATCATCCGCAAAAAGCAGGGATGAGATCCACTGGTCCCCAAACCAGACCCCCTCCGGTCCTTGGCTGCGCCTAGAAATCCTGTCCATAAAAGTCATGAACAGGACCGGTGACAGAGGGCAGCCCTGTCGGAGTCCAACATGCACCGGGAACAGGTCCGACTTAATGCCGGCAATGCGAACCAGA